AGGGTAATTAAGATTTTTATATTTAGTGATGGTGAGATTTGATATATAATTGATGTGGGGGCTACTTTTTGTCAGGTCAATAGAACTATGCCAGATGAAAGTGGGATGCCTTGTGTGACTTCAGGTACTCAGAAGTGGAATGGTGCTAATCCTAGTTAATAGCTAATGCTAGCGTCATGAGGATTGAGGCTAGTTGGTCGGAAATTTGGAATAGGGTTCATTGATTGGTTGTTCAGGCATTGTAGATGATGGCAAATATAATTATTATTGATGCAGTTGCTTGTGTAAGAAAGTATTTGATTGCGGATTCAGAAGCTCAGGAGTGATTTGAGTATGTTATTATGGGGATGACCGCTAGTGTATTAATTTCTAGCCCTAGTCAGGCTATAAATCAGTGATTACTTAATAGGGTCAATGACGTACCTAGGAGTAGACTGATAGAGATAATTAAGAATACATACGGGGACGTTAGTATGGGAAGGATATAAACCAACATTTTCAGGGTATGGATCCAATAGCTTATTTAGCTGACCCTACTAGAATGTGGTATAAGGGAAACTCGGAGGACTTTGAGTTCTCTAATATGAGTTCAAGTCCTATTGTTCTAGAAATAAGGGGGCTTGCACCCCTATAACTTATCCTATCAAGATAATTCTTTTGTCAGACATATTTCTTAAATTTGTGGTGGAATACATGATAAGGTGATTGGAATGGAAATAAATCATAAGCATAGGGCTGATGTAATAGGTAGAAAATTCTTTCATAATAAGTACATTAGTTGGTCATATCAGAATCGAGGATAAGATGCTCGGATTCATAGAAATAGGAATGTGAGTGTTCCTGTTTTAATCATGAAGGAAAGTGTGTTGAAGTGAGTAAAATTATGATTAAGTGATGAGCCTAGGAATAGAATAGTAGTTATGGCATTCATGACTATAATATTAGCATATTCAGCTAGGAAGAATATGGCAAATGGTGCGGCTGCATATTCTATGTTGAAACGTGAGACGAGTTCTGGTGTTGGATTTATGTAAAATGGAAAGGTAATTTTTTAATATTGACATGTCATTTAAATTGAATTGCAAGTAAGGTGTGAGAATTTTCAGGAAGTAGTTTAATAAGAATATCAGCTTTGGGTGTTGATGGTGAGGTACACGGCCTTCTTCTTGATATGTCCTAGGAAGGAGATCTCCTTCATTGCTGGCTTACAAGGCCAGTATTTTTGTTAAATTACTTGGACTCTTCATTTAGGTTTCAGTATATAGTTTTCAAATAATCCTGCTGTGGGTATTAGGACAATGATTAGGAAGAAGTATGTGATGGATGCAGTTTGTCCAGTAATAATGTAATGTTGTTCTACGGGCTGTCCTCCAATTCAGGTGAGGATAAAAAGGTTGGCTGTTAAAATTCAGAAAAGGACTTGGGAGATAGGTCGGAATATTAGGCTATGTTGTTTGGATGTGTGAAGGAGTGGAATGACTAGGAGAACTAGGATAGAGGCTAATAGAGCGAGGACTCCTCCTAGTTTGTTCAGGATCAGAGGATTGTGTAGGCAAATAGGAAGTATCATTCTGGTTTGATATGGGGTGGTGTGTTAAGGGGGTTGGCGGGAGAGAAGTTATCTGGGTCACCTAGTATGTCAGGTGAAAATAGGGCTAGTAGGAGAAGGATAAGTAGTATTAAGATTATGCCTAGTATATCCTTAACGGTGTAGTAGGGGTGAAAGGGGATTTTGTCTGAGTCAGGATTGATTCCTGAGGGGTTAGTTGAGCCTGTTTCATGGAGGAACAGTAGGTGGACAATGGCTAGTGCTGCAATGATAAAGGGTAAGATAAAGTGGAAGGAGAAAAATTGGGTCAGTGTAGCTTTGTCTACGGAGAATCCGCCTCAAATTCATTCTACTAGGGTGGTACCAATGTATGGGATAGCAGATAGTAAGTTAGTAATAACAGTTGCGCCTCAGAAGGATATTTGTCCTCATGGAAGAACGTAGCCAACAAAGGCAGTTGCTATAACTATAAGTAGAAGAATCACTCCAGTGTTCCATGTTTCTTTGTAAAGGTAGGAGCCATAGTAGATTCCTCGGCCAATATGGAGGAATAGGCATATGAAGAATAGTGACACTCCGTTGGCACGGAGGTTACGAATAAGTCAGCCGTAGTTTACGTCTTGGCAGATGTGGGCTACTGAAGAAAAGGCTGTTAGGGTGTCAGAGGTATAATGTATAGCTAGGAATAGACATGTAAGGATTTGGATAATTAGGCAGATTCCCAATAATGATCCCAAGTTTCATCAAGCAGAAATGTTGGATGGCGTTGGTAGGTCAATGAAGGTTTCATTAACAATTTTTATAAGGGGGTGTGTTTTGCATAGATTGGTCATTAATTTTTGTAGTTGAAAGGCAACAATGGTTTTTCATGCCATAGGTTATGGTTAGAGTCCATACTAAAATAATGAAAATGATAGTCATTTTTTTATTCTCTCTTTTACTGATTGTTGGATTTGTAGCCTTTGCTTAGAAGCCTTCTTACAATCTAATGAGGGCAGACACATAAAGGGAAGCTTCCGGCAATGGGGGCAGGGGAGATGAGGTGGAAAAGGCACCTGAAATGGGGTCATAATGGAGAAGTTCCAAAGTGGTACAACCAGGTGAGAGATGAGAAATCTGAGCTGAGCTTCCTCCTTAAATGGAGCTTTGGAGTTCATGGCCTTATTCTCCAATCAGAGAGTCAGAGAATGATGATATGGTGGAGTACCATGGTTGATACAGGAAGATAAAACTATCCCAATAATGAGCAAAAACATAATAGTCTCTGTCCTGAGGTAATTCACAGCCTACTGAGGTGATACAACATGTATACAAACTAAGTAAATACATTTTTTTCTCTTTAAAAAAGTTTATTTTTATTTTTCAAGTAATAAGTATTTCTTCTTTAATCTGTCCCTCCCACTACCCCTCCATTAAGTAAATTTTTTAAAAAACCTGAAAAAACAAATGCCTCAATATATAGCTATAGTTCATCAAAACAATATGCTTCTAATTGTTCTCCTTGCCTCAAGTTTCTGTCCTCTCTAATCCATCTGCCACATAGCTGCTAACAGAATTTTCCTAAATTGCAAATCTGACTGTGTTATTCCCCTATACAATAAACTCCAAAGCCTCCCAATTGTTTTTATGATCAGATGTAAGCTCCTCTGTTTGCCTTTAAACCCCTTCACAACCTAGCCACAAACTACCTTCCCAACTATATTAAATATTATTCCCCTTTCTGAACTCTGTGATCCAACAAAATTGGCCTTCTGGCTGTTTCTCATATACAGCACTTGTCTCCTGTCTCTGTGCCTTTGCGCTGGCTGTGTCCCAGGAATGCACTCCCACCTCACTTCAGTCTCTTAGAATCCCTTATTTTCTTCAAAATTCTACTCAGGTGTCATTCTCTCCATGAAGCCTTTTCATGTTCCCCTATCGGCAAGTGCCTGCCCTCAGCCCCAATTTACCTTGTATTTGTTTTGTCTGTACTTTACTAATGTACCTGTTATCTCATGATAAAATGTGTGTTCCTTGAAGACAGGAATTATATCCCCAGTGCCTAAAGCAGTGCCTGGTACACAGCAAGCACTTAAAAAATGCTTGTTTTTTTGGGTTTTTTGATTGATTGGTGATCACACAGCTAGCAGAGTAGGGACTGGAACCCAGACCTCTTAACTCCTGCTCCCACTTCAGTACTATTTCCACTATATTTGCTCTATATATGTACATGTAAGACAAACCTATTAAATAGACTAAAATGTGATCCAGTGACACCAGCCTTCATTTCCCCACTCCAGGGATTTTCCGTGGCTGTCCCCCATCCCTAGAATACCCTCTCTCTTCATCTCCCATTCCTAGCTTCTCTAGCTCAGGTCTGAGTTTAAATCCCACCTTCTACAGAAAATCTTTCCCTTAGTGCTCATTAGTGCCTTCCCTCTATTCATTATCTCAAATTTTTCTGTCTTTATCTTGTTTGTACATAATCGTTCCTGTTTCTAGGAGCTATAGGTGGAATGTAAAAACTCTATCCAGGCAGGGGGAATAAAATAAAATTCTAGATAATCTAACCTGCATCAGAATGAAAAAGATAGTGCCACCAGTTAAGGGTTAGTGAGATACCTTAACGTTCAAACTAGGTAATTTCAGAAGGAAAACTATTTAAATGAACTCTTCTAGTCAAGAGAATACTTGAATTCTTTCAGATCAGTAAAAAAAGGCCTAAAGTCCTTTGAACTTTGTAGACTCAACAGTATTTGAAAAGTAAGACAGAAAGACAATGAGACAAAAAGCACTGTCTCAGTACTACTTTGGATATGTTTGACATGTGCTGTGTTAAATGGCATTAGAAAACCAGAAATGATAAGTCATTATCTTAACTAATAAGAAAGGAATCTCTTATTACTGAACTGTGCTCTAAGATGTTCAAAGACCTATTTTTTGTATTAAAGTATTCTTAAAAGAAAACAAATGTATTCCTAAAAATGGTTTCCTGTGTTGAGTGTTCGTGCAATCAGAGCTACGTTGTAAACTATTCTTGTAATATCCAGTTATTTTGAAAGATTTGTATAATGGATTATTCTGAATATATGAGCAATAAAGATGATGAACTTGAAAAAAAAATAATTGTTCCTGTTGCTGCTCCCATTAGACTATGAATTGTTTTTTGCCTTTCTTTAATTTCCCCCCAGTGCTTATATGGTACCTGGCATGTAGTGGACTTTGAGTAAATGCTTGTTAACTTGCCTTGCCTTAACTATATTTTTTATAGTGAGACTCAAATAAGTGGATTTTTTTAAAATATAGAAGGGTGTATTTTTAATCATTTTAACATCAATGGTAATGATGCATATGATTTCAGGTCATGTGGAAACAGTGAATCAAAGCCACAAAGTGGTAATGTGTTCTTATGTATTAAACACTCTTTTTTCCAATGTCGTCCTCATCCTTGCTCTCTTCTGATTATTCCCAGGTATTTACTTTGCAAAAGACGCCAGCTCTTCCCACAACAATCATAACAGCAGTGCCAAAAACAGGATTATGTTTGTTGCCCAAGTTTTGGTCGGAGCATTTGTTCAAGGAAAAATGGAGTATACTCATCTTCCTCAAAATGTCACCGGATGTGACAGCTGTGTGGACAATATGACCAGTCCTTCCACTTATGTCATCTTTGATAAGCGTCAGATTTACCCTGAGTATGTCATCGAATATACAAGTGTTGATAAAGGCTGTAGCATTAGTTAGGAAGGAAAGAAGAGAAACATGATCACACTCAAAATAATGAAATTATTCTGTACTGTAGAACCAGGTTGCCTAGGATAATGGTGAAACTTTATACCCAAGCCTAATAATAAGGTATAAAGTATTTGATCCCAAGTCTTTAGTTATCATGATTTTCAGTATTTTCTAGAGCAGTGCCCTGCCTGTTGTTATTGGTTTGGTTCTTTGACAACCACTGCAGTCTCATGTCCCTAATAAACCGTATGGGGCCAATTTTTGTTTATGTTAAAGAAAATTTAAATTGATTTGGAAAATACTGGAATAGCCATTGTGATATGTACATATGTCCTGAGGTATTTATGATCCAAGGGTGGGAATTCCAGCTGTAGAGCCGAGACCCTAATCTTTGAATTTCTGAAAATGAATTCTATTAAGTGTGCTGTTGCAAAATAGCAACTATGATAACTTCTACTTATGTGATACTTTAAAGCAGAGGTTCCCAAACTTATTTGGCCTACTGACCCCTTTTCCAAAAAAAAATTACTCAGCACCCCCCTGGAAATCCTTAACCCTTTAACGGTTTTTTGAAATTTGTGGCATTTCAAAAAAATATAAATATTTTTTAAATGACACATCTTAAATTTAATAATTTATTGTAAGTTTGTGGAGTTTTTTCCTGCATTGAAATTTTGATAACATAGTATTACATCATGTAACCGTATAGTATCATATTGTAAACAAGTCATTACATGCATATATTCCTGCCAATGCATACTGGACTTCCCAACAATGCATGACACACTCACCTGCCAACACATGCTTATTAAGACCTGTCAGTGGACTTGACCGTTGATCAGTTATAACTTGCATTTTGTGTGTTTATTTGGAAAATGATGTAATCACTACAATTTTAACTCTGTCACACAACAGATGAAACATATATGAACAGTTTTTCAAAATTCTCTTCTCTTCTTTCCTTATGCTTCCATCACCTCCTTATTTTTATTTAACACCCCTCAATTTCACCCGAGGCTACTACTGACCCCTTAGATTGTTCCAGCACCCCTCTAAGGGGCAGTATCGCCCACTTTGGGAACCTCTGCAAAAGTTTAAAGTTTAAATCTGTGAATCAGAAAATAAAATTTATAAAATATTGGAAAGGGAGATAAATAATGAGGACAAAACAAGGGAAAACATCTTGGAAAAGAAAAGAGCAAAAGGGTATTACTTAAGACATTGGAGCCAAGCATGATGGTACACTCCTATAATCCTAGCTACCAGGGAGGTCTAAAGCTAGAGCATAGTTAGATATTTACACTGAGTTTGGCATTAAATTGGTGAGCCCCTGGGAATGGAGGGCAGGGACCACTAGGTTGCCTAAGGAGGGACGAGCCAGTCAAGGTCAGAAATGGAAGTACCCATGCTGATCAGTAGTGGGATTGGGCTTGTGAGTAGCCCCTGCACTTGGGTATGATAGAGAGACCCAGTCTTTAAAAAAGAGACAGATAGAAAGAAAGGATTTAATAAGGGGGTGGGAGTTGGAGGCAAATAGGTAAAAACAAAAATCATCAATAAACTTTTTCAAGAGAGAGTTGGACCTCTAAACATCTAAAACGTAGTTATTAGCCAAGCTACACAAATTATTCTCAAAAATTAAGAAAAAAATTTTTCTAGACTTTTTTATTAGACAAATATAGTTCTACCTAAGCCAGAGAAGGATAAAGCAAAGAAAAAGAAGTATTGAGTAATATCACTAATGATTATAGATGTAAAATTTTTCCAAAAAAAATTATCTTTTCCCAATTGCATGTAAAACCAATTTTTAACATGTTTTTTAAATTTCTTGAGTTCCAAATTCTCTCCTTCCCTCCCCTCCTGAGATGGTTAGCAATTTGATATAGGTTATACATGTGCAATCATGAAAAACGTTTCCATGTCAGTCATGTTGTAAAAGAAAAAACAGACCAAGAAAAAAACACAAAAATAAAGTAAAAAATAATGTGCTTCAATCTGCATTCAGATTCCATCAGTTCTTTCTCTGGATGTGGATAGTATTTTTCTGGATGTAAAAATTTTAAATAAAATCCTAGCAAAAGACTATAGCAAAATATAAAAAAATGTCATTATGATCAAGTTGGATTTATACCAGAGATATAAGGATGGTCTAAAATTAGGAAATCAATTAGCATACTTATATTGAAAACTACTTTAAACAATATGGCTATATCAATAAATGCAGTTCAAATCCAACCTCAGACACCTACTTGCTGTGTTATCCAGGGCAAGTCACTTAATCTCTGCCTCAGTTTCCTAAACGAATGAGGACAGTAATAGCACCTGCCTTCCAGGGGTGCTGTGAGGATCAAATGAGATAATATTTGTGAAGTGCTTAGCATAGTGCCTGGTGCATACTGGGTACTAAATATAAATTTTAGCTGTTATATTTATTGTTATTATTAAAAAGACTTTGAGAAAGTACAATACTCATTAATGTTAAAAAATAACAAAACGTAAGTATTGAAAGACCATTTTAAATATTATTGATACAGTCAACATCTTTTGTTATATAGCACAATAAACTCAAAATTTTAGCGAGGGGAGAAAATTCTTAACCAACCCAAGGGACAGAGTTGATCATAAAAGGTAAAATAGGTGATCTCTATTTCATAAAACTAGAAAATTTTTGCATGAAAACAAAATCAATGCAGTTAAAATAAAAAAGAAAAAGTACTCTGGGTGGGGGGAAATATTTCCATCAGATATTTCCGATGAAGGTGGGTCCACTACCCAAAATATATAGTGAATTACAGCTATATGAGACAAAAAGCCAATGAAGAAGTGGTCGAAAAATAAGAAATGGTCAAAATAATTGGCAACTATTAACCATAGGAAAGATTGCTCTAAATCACTCATAATAAAAGAAATACACATAAAAATAATGCTGAGGTGTCACCTCACATCCAGCAAATTGGCAAAGATGACAAAAGAGGGGAATAATCTGTGTTGGAGGGATGCTAGAAAACCAGGCACACTAATGCAGTGTTTGCTGGTGGTGTGGATTGGTCCAGTCGTTCTGGAAAGCAATTAGGAATAACACTAAGAAAAAAAAAATAAAAAATAAATATCCATTGCTTTGACCCAGAAATCACTGTTGTATAACTTTCAAAAAGAAATTAAAAATAAAAAGAAACACTGTGTATATGCTAAAATATCCTTAGCAACATTGTGGTAGTGAATAATTGGAAATAAAATGTTGAGAAATCACTAAGTAACTTGTGATGTATAAATGCAGCGTAATCAATGAGCACCTATTAAGCATCTACTATATTCTAGACACTGTCCTAGGCACCAAGAATAGAAATACAAGGAATGAAACAGTACTTATTCTTAGAATAAGTATAAAGAGAATAAATGCAAAATACTTAAATGCAAGATAGGGGAAGATGGCAGTAGCAGTGGAGATCAAGAAAGGCTTCATGTAGAAGATGGTGCTTGAACTGAGATTTGAAGGAAGAGCGAGAAACTAGGAGACAGAGGTGAGGAGGGGGCACATTCCAGGCCTGTTGAATAACCAGTACAAAGGAATAGAGAAGAAAGATGGAGTGTCATGTGTGATGAACAAAGAGAAGGCTAGTTTGTCTGAATTGCAGGGTACTGGAAGGGAATAATATACAATGAGGCTGATAAGGTAGGTTAGGGCCGTATTATAAAGGTCTTAAAAATGCCAAAAGGAAGAGTTTAAATTTGTTCCAATAGGGAGCCATTGGAATTTTTTGACTAAAGGGAGTTATATGGTTAGATCTGTACTTGAAAATCTTTTTGGCAACTTATGAAGGCTATATTGGATCAGGGAGAGATGAAGCAGGGAAAATTTTTAGGAGGTTGTTGAAATAATCTAGGTGAGAAGTGATGAATGACTGAGCTAAGATAGTAGCTGGGTGAGTAGAGAAAAGGGTTCTGATGGGAGAAATGTGGAGGTAGAAAGAACAAGACTTAGAAACTGTTGCATGTGAAAGATATAGGAGAGTGAAGAGTTGAGAAAAATTCCAAGGTTATAAACCTGTGAAACTAGTGAAATATTTGTGTCTTTGACAGAACTAGGAAAATTTGGAAGAAGGAAGTATTTGAGGGTAAAGATAATGAGTTCTGTTTTGGTCATGTTGAATTGAAATGGCTTCGAAACATTCAGTTTGAAATATCCAATAGGTACATGATGATAGAGGACTCATTGTGGGTGCAGTGGAGGAGATGTTTGTGTATGGAATATATAAATCTATCATCTCACAGAGATTATAATTAAAACCATGGAAACTGAAGAGGTAACCAAGAGAAAGAGTATGTGTAGATAGATGAGGGTCCAGGTCAGAGCCTGAACATGAGGAACACTACAGATTGGGGCTTAGATAAACCAGACGATAAACCAGCAAAGGAGATTGAGAAGGAGCAGTCACATAGTTAGGAGGAGAACCAGTGTCACCAATAAAAATTTAAAAAAAAACCAGGGAGGAAAGGGCGTGATAGTCTCAAATGTATTTTGTTAAAAAAGGGTAAGGTGTGAGAAAAGACCATCCAATTTTTTCAATTAAGAGATTGCTGATAACTTGTAGAAAGCAGTTGCAGTAAGTGATGAGGTAAGCGGATAGACTGCAAAGAATTAAGGAGTGAGTAGAGAATAGGATATGAATGCAAAAATGTAGGAGTTTGGCTGAGAATAGTATGAGAACTTGAGGGAAAGGTATCATCTAGTAAAGATTTAAGGATGGGGGAGATGGAAAGCTTAAAGGCTATAGGGAAGAAACCAGTAGGTTTAGAGAAGTTGAAAAATAGGGAGTGGGGTGATTAAGGTTGCAACTTACTAGACAAAATTAATGAAATATTACTGGACTCATAAGAAATGACAAATGAAGAATTCTGAGAAGTATGAGAAGACTTACATGAGCAGAGTAAAGTGAGCAGAACCAGGGAAACACAAATGCAATGAGTGCAATAATGTAACTGGGAGGAACAAAAAAAGAGACTGAATGGTGTTTAATTATACTGATCAAACTTAGTCCTGTAGAAGAATTAATAAAATGTGCCTTCCTCCTCACTTTGCAGAAGTGAGGGATTATGGATGTAGAGTATTGCATATCCTATCAGATACAGTTAATATGTTGATTGTTTTTGCTGAAATGCTTGTTTTCTTCTTTCATTCTTAAAATCTTTGTTACAAGAGAAAAAGATATATTTAGAAATTAAGGTGATATAAAAATAAAAAGACATTAGTAAAAATA